AAAAAACAGATCTCATCTTCCTAGCACACAAATGACATGGCAACAGCGTTATTTTCAGCAATTGATTATTTTTGATACTGTTCAAGTGTTGAAAAATGACAAATAATTTTGTTATAAACTATGTTATGGCATGCAAATTGCTTTAATGCCAAAATTTCATTCTTAATAAATTCAGTAACTGTAATCATTAATGGATGTCCAACTCATATTCAGCATGAGAATTTTCCAAGTCAAAGGCTTTCTAGGAGAAAAATCTGGTTTGACCTTCTGACTTCCAAGGAAGGGAAACAAGACTCAGAGAGGTCAGGCAATGTCCCCAACAGTGCCTGAGTGGCTGGGAATCCAGCCCCAATTGGCTGAGGCTTCCTTCTCTTTGTCTCTATAGGAACATCTGTAAGATAATGTCAAAGTGTAACCCAGTCTTACAAAAATGGGTGGTAGAGTTGGATTTGGTCCCCAGATTTTGCCAAGTACTTAGATTTTGCCAACCTCTGCTATTTGTAGTTATGTTCATTATAGGATTTTGGCACTGGGAGAAATTATCACTTTCTACCCCAAATCTTTATTATAAAACAGTCTGAATTCAACTATCATCATTTAATACATAGGTATAAATACATTTGCTGTATTTTTCTATTTCTATTACATTAGCATGTTATAACTAAAGAACCAATATTTGCACATTATTATTACGTACAGTTCATACTTAGTTCAGATTTCTTAGTTTTTATCTACTGTCCTTCTTTTGTTCCAGTAAGGTACAATAGGATGCCATATTAATTTAGTTTTCCCTATTTTGCATTATTGAGAGGGAGGGAAAAAGAGAGAAACAGACAGATACCGGCATGCACATACACACATACAGAAACAGAGAAAAAGAAACACGGATATCTCTCTTCCACTTTGAAGACAATTAAGGCCAAAATCCTACAAATTACTGTTCTCATGTTCTCTAATATAAAAGAAAAGGGCATATGTTAATGAAGTAATCCAGAGTTTTAATAATGAGAAATACATTGGGATAAGAAAAAGGTCAGGTTAAAAAGAATGTGACAATTGGAAAGATGTGGCAATGTGGTCCCTGATTTTAACATGGAATAATGAAATCTACAAAGCAAGAAATGGGGCAGAGTAGCATGAGAACTTAAAGTAGTAACAGGCAGTTCACATAAAACCATAGTTATATGGTGCAATTTGCCATCATTTACTTTAGGGAAGTTTGCATTTTTAAAACCCATAGAGATTCAGAGATAGTTTCCTTGCCAATATTTATGTAAAACATTTTCCAAACAAGACTGATTTATCTTACTCTGAAATGAATTGTTAGATCACAACAGAGAATGTTAAAGTGTTTGCATCCCTTATAGAAATGCCAAACATTTTACTCTGCCTGATGCTGTACTATAAATAGGGAGATTCATTCAAACGCTAAAAATGTTCAAGTTGCCAAACAGTTCTTTAGCATCTACTTCCCAGTACAAATGACTTGTTCTTCCAAAGTTTGAAACTGAAAGCTAGTTGCAATTTAGAGAAATGCTGTGGCTTACTTCAACTGATGGAGTGTGAAAGACACTTCGTTTATGTGTATTTCTTTTTGTTCAGATCATGTTCACTGAATTGCTTCTTTAGGCATTTACTAAAGCTTTGTTCAATAGGAGCTATTCAGATGAGAGTTAGGCCTTTAGCTAAACACAACTGGATCAGCTAAGGAACATGAGTATTGTTGGAAAATAATGATGCAGATTGAAATTAGTTCGAATTTTGCTAGCTCTGCTTGGATGTAATACTAGATATAAAATTTATTTATTTATTTTACATCTGGTTAAAAAAAAAAAAGAGGAATAGTAAAATCAGAATGAAACCTAACAAACTCACCCAACAAGATGATACAAATAAGACCCTGATATCCACGAGGAGATTAAAATAAAACTCGAAGAAATTTTAATGGATTAAGAAAAATAGGACATCTTAGGAAGAAATCACCTTTTGTGGTCAAAAGAACAGTAAATGGAGGAAGTGTCATTGATTTATGATTGGTATTTGAAAACAAGTATAGATCTCTCTATGTATTTTATAGAGAGAATATAAATAGTACAGAGATTTGTCTAAGATATTTAAAGCCAACATCACTTGAAGAAGTGGTGACTGGGACAGGAAACTACAGGAGGTGACAGAGTGAGGCAGGGCAAGGATGGCTCTGTGACATTTTCTTCCAATCAACTGACTATCCCAGGGGTCTTCGGTCTTCCTTCCACAACTGAACAGACCTCCCACTACCCAACTGTAGTCATGTATTCAAAAATGGCGAGATTTGCCCTTAAATGGAATCCAAATAATTATCACAACATTTTTTTCTTAGCGTTATTAAATGTGTTTTAATACTACATATGTTGATTTGCTAGATATTTTTTAATACTAGATATACTTTGATGTGCTTAGTTAGTATTTTGCAAGCCTCTGCAAAATAATAAAATATCTACTATTTTATAGTAAATTAGAATAATAGATGTATAATTTTATAATAATTTATAATATAATAATCATAATTATAATATTTTTATAATAATTTTATAGATGTAAGATTTTATAATATATAAGAAGTAACTTAAGTAAAATTATTTGATGTTAGGTAAATTACTATTAATTTTATTACCAAGTTAATTGAAATACAAACTTTATTATATTTTGAGGTTTCCCAACTCAAAGCTACTTATTTACTTTAAATTCATTTTTAAATGAAACATATGACTTGCAGACAATTTTTGAAATTGTGGCATTTTATTTTTGATTTGGGGAATAATTATGCAAGTTTAAAGCTGTATTTAATATGTCACAATATCAAAATAGATGTTATTTTTTATTAACTATTGTTTTGATACTTTGCATTTTGGACAAAGATAATCACCCCATAATAACTTTTGCATTTTATTATAAAAATGAGACAAGATGAAAAGTTCTAGGCTGCGGTTTTAGTGAAGCATTTCTCTGCAATTGATACAAACTGTGACTATGTTATCAGCTTGCCAGGGAGAGCCTAAGACAGATATGGAGACACATAGGTGGGCGCGCGCAAGCGCACACACAACACACACAACACACACACACACACACACACACACACACACACACAGTCCTCAGACACCTGGGGCTATGAGGCACCAGTACATTGTAAAGTTCCTGTACTCAGGGATTAATGCAGACACAGAACTTTAAGAAACAGAAACACCAGGCTCCATCATGTTTCTGTTTCTGCCCAGTTCCCACTCCAGGATTTGCATAGTGCTTTAAACCTCTGCTTTTGCAGTTTTGCCTTTATAGTTCTGGACGTCATGGGTGTGGCTCCCTCTCTCACCATTCCTAGCAATGCACCTCTAACGGCATGCTACATCTTTAAATGTTATTTTTCTTTTAAGGAGCACACACATGCTCCTATGAATCACCAGATAATGGGTATGAGTTAACAGTCATTGATACCAACATGGATGTTAATGCACAAAGAGCAATGTGAAAGCAGTCTGGTGTGTTCACAGTATTTCTAAACTTGCATGATTTTAATTCTTGTTAGTACAGTATTTAGATAGGCATACCACTCTCTTAAAGACCTTTCTCCTATAATACATGCATAATGCAATGTGAAGAAAGGAATTGCTGAAAGGAAAACTATTTCTCCAAATTATGACTTGCATCTCAGTAATGAGAAGCTATTAAAATATACTTTAAAAAAAATCCCTAAGCTGATCTATTCCTTAGCATTTTAAGATTTCCCACTGCTTTTCTATTTTCCCATTCTGTATGCACAGCACAGATTCCTGCCAGGCCTATTACAGTGAGCAAACAATGTCCTCTCTGTCAGAACAGAGAATGAATAGTGTCACAAAATTCTCCTCTAATGTACAGCCTACGTTCCCCTACCCATGCTTTTCAAAAGAGAATAACCGGGATGAGGGCTGAGGAGGAAAGCCGGACTCTCCCCTTGCCATCTGAAATTGCCTTCTAGAACACTAAGGAATAAAGCATGTCAACCATATATTAACTTCTAAACAGAGAGTTGACAAGCACATTTTCTTTTAAATTGGATCATGTATTTTTGCATTTCTGTGTATATGGGTATGCAAACATCTTTATCAGGAAAGGAGGAGACATTTTATCAGATAGTTTTAGGGCTTAGCACAAACAGCTTTTCGCCACAAACTGAGCAACAACAGGGGAAACTTCATAGAAACAACACAGCAATTTGTGTTAAAATATTGGCAGCTAATTCATGAATGCTGAAGCTATGAATTCAGCTGCTTTTGTTCAAGCCTTGATTCCTGCTCAGCTCATGATTCGTAAAGAACTTGCAGCGAGTCCTCTGAAACACAATACGATGCTGACAGATTCCTCTTTGGTATCAGTATCTGTCCATCTGTCTGTCTGTCTGTCTCTCTCACACACTCTCCCTTCCCACAAGAGACGTTAAGGGTATGATCTTCTAAAAACAAGAAATTCATGAAGTATTTCTTGTGAACCAATGAAATGGCATTTTCATAGAAAAACATGGGTTTCCTTAAACTCTACCTTATTTGTAAGTTTCGGTTGGTGTAAAATACGATGATTCAGGGTTTTCTGCCTTGTGTCATAAATACAGGATTTATTTTATTTAACCCTCAGGGAAATTATTTCATAAAGGTAGAAATGCTATTTTTATTTAAAAAAAATCAAACCCCACTGCTTTTGTTTTTGTGAATATCTGCAACAGAAAAAAGTCCAGCTTCCCCTTCCCTCACATTCCCACACATTTGCAGTGCAGCCCAATAAGCTTCCAGATTCTGATGGCATTCTCCTGGTAACACATTTAGCAGAGGCTGCAGGACACCCCAACAGCTCTGCTTTCTTCTCTCTCTCTCCTCTCACACCACCCTAGGTCTGTATTAGACTAAACAATTAAACCTTTGTGCTGTACGACTACAATCAGAAAATTCTAATGCTGTGTCCCTTATTGGTACAATGGTAATATTTACCTTGGAGCAATGTTTGTCCAAAAGAGTATTCCAAATTCTGGCAACACCTCCTTTTGAAGCCTTGTTATGGCGAGACTCTCTCTTCTTTCTTGGACTAAAACCAAAAAGAAAGTTAGAAAAAAAAAAGGAAAATGGACACAGGCTGTGAAAGATCCTTGCCTTGCTCACTCTAAAAATGTTGGCATATTTATGCCAAATATTGAGCTTTATATTCCTTCCTAACCAAAGCAAACACAATGTTTTAACTTCTCAACAGTCACAACTACAAATAGCAGTGAATGCATATAATACTTTCTCTATCACAACGGCCAAGTCAGTGTTTGATCAAATACAAATTATCTTACTTGCTCTTTCCATATTTTTCCAAGTTTATGACAAATAAATCTGTGTTTCTGTAGTAATATTAACACTGGAATAACTTATCTGAATTTGAGCTAAAAACAAGCGATTTCTTTGAAAAGAGCCATTTATGAAAGCTATCTATGGCAAGATAAGCTGTGATTCAGTTCTGGAAAGTTTTTAATTGAGGGAGACTAGCAGGACCTGATGATAATTGGTAGATCTAATCCCAGGTCATTCCTTCATTCTGCCCTAGAAATGGGGAAGACACAGAAATGGAGGAGACTGTCTTCCTCTGATTTTTCTGCTGCCAATCCTGTCTGTGGTTCTGCTCAACTGCTGCCCAACTCTTCCTCCATCCCTGATTCCCTCTCTGGTTCTCTTTCCATAAAGCATCTTGTGCACTGAACATTTTTGTAAAGACACCACCTCAGAAGCCAATGAGAGGGAGGAGGGGTTGGGGAGGATGGAATGAATGAAGGAATAAATGTGTTCACACTCTAAGGAGAATATCCTGGCTGAGGACTAGATCCAGACCCTCTCCATGACATTAGCAGACTGAGGCACAACTCCTGATTTTCAATATAAAACACTGGGTAGAACATGAAGCTTTCAGATTTGCATCTACTGCTATATTATCACCTCAGACTGAATGCCACTTTCTTCCAGAGTCAGGAGATTATTTATATTATCTGAAGGTACATCTCTTGTTCCCCTGCCAGTTATCAAGAGGGAAACACTGCCTTGTTTGCCGTTGCGTTCAGCTACATTATTATTTTCTTATTTTTCAAAATAAATCTAAAAAGATCAGAACAACACACACAATCATGAGCTGTCTGCCTCCAACCCGACTGCAGGTCTTTCTACTGTCAATCACGCAAGGTAGGAGGACAGGGCTTCACTGGGAGAGGTACTTGACAGATCAGTGCACTCTGAAGCCATTGTTCTGTGTTTTCATTAGATTTCAAATCAAACCTCCTTCCAAACCCCCACCACTCAGGCTTATTGAGATGTGGATTCCAACTGTATGCCTCTCCAGTTTTCTATGATAATGGTCAATCCCAGAGAAGTCTCTTGAATTAGTTAGCTGGGTAGTTTAAGTATCCAAATTAAATGATTGCAATAAAAATAAATATTTTTTCTTAAAAATGACAGATTATATTAATATATATTAGAAATAACATATATTCATTATTTCAGTAGAGTTTTTCTATTACTCAATGTGAATAAAGAGCCAGATTTGAAAAACACAACTTGACAGTTAATTTAATGATATAAAGGTGGAATGTAATTTGGCATTTTCAAAACAGACGTTTCGTGAATTAAAAATGTTCCAAGGAATCGAGGTAACCAGGACAGTTATGGTACGATCATAAAGACAGACATACAGACCAATGGGACAGAGTTCAGCCTCCACAGAAATAATCCCACATATTCACAGTCCTTTAATTACATGGTGAGTTGATTTTTTTTCTTTTTTTTTTTTTTGGACAAAGGTCCTAAGACTGCTCAATGGGGAAAGAACTATCACTTCAACATATGCTTCTGGGCAATTGAATAGCCATATGCAAAAGAATAAAGTGGGATCCTTAACTCAGACCATATAAAAAAGTTCACATAAAATGGAGAAAATACCTAAACGTGAGAATTAAAACTACAAAACTCTTACAAGGAAACATAGAGGTAAATCTTCATGAGTTTAAATTTTGGCAGTGGAGCTTTAGATGTACCCCAAGGTACAAGCAATAAAAAAAGAGAGCTAAATTGGACTTCATCTAAATAAAAATAATTGTGCTTTTAAAAGTACTATCTAGAGAGTGAAAGACACACAAAGAATAAGAGAAAATATGTCCAAATCACCTGATATGGCACTTGGTTAATATATCTAGAATACATAAACATTCTTATAACTCAATTAAAAAAACTAAAGAAAATGGGAAAATGGTAAAATGGAAAATGGGCCAATAGATACTTCTCCAAAAAGGATATATAAATGACCAATAAGCACATGCAAAGAGCTGGGTGTGGTAGTGCATGTCTGTATCCCAGCGACTTGGGTGGCAGAAGCAGGAGGAGCACAAGTCCAAGGGGCAGCAATATAGCAAAAACCCTTGGCAACTTGAAATAAAAGCACAATAAAAAGTAAAAAGGACTGAGGATGTAGCTCTGTGATAGAGCACCCCTGGGTTCAATCCCCAGTGACAAGAAAGAGGGAGGGGCATGCAAAGATGCTCAACATCATCATCAAGTAAATGCAAATGAAAGCCACAGGAGAATGAGAAATTATACAAAAGGTATCAAAATGCATTCTACTGTTATGAATAACTAATTAGAACAAAAGTTTTAAAAGCCACGAGGAGATATCACTTCACATCTGCACTCACTGACAAGGTAAAATAAAAATACCTAAGATAATAATGAGGGTCAGGGAGGCTATGGAGAAATCAGACCCTAACAGCCTGTTGCTAAGAGGATAAGATGATGCAGCCACTTTGAAAATTACCTAGCAGTTCTTCATCACTGTTAAGCATGGAGTTATCATTTGACTCAATAGTTCCAGTCCTAGGTATACACCAAGAGAAACTATAAATTTACAAACACAAAATCTTGTACATTGATGTTCATAGCAGCATTATCTAGATTAGCAGAAAACAGAAAACAACCCAATGTGAATGGATAAACAAAATTTGTTGTAATCACACAAAAGAATCTCATTCAGCCATTAAGTGGAATGAAGCATGGACACATGGTATAGCATGGATGTATTGTGAACACAGAACACACAGCAAGGGAAAAAAAACTGTATATTATATGATCCTCTTTTATAAGAAATGTTCAAAATGGGCAAATACACAGAGATGAAAAGTGGACTAGTAGTTGCTTAAGGCTAGGGGCAATGGGGGGATAGAGAGATGATGACAGCCAAGGGGTGATGAAAATGTGCTAAAATTGATGATTGTACAACTTTATACTAAACCCTATTAAATTGCATACTTTAAATGGATGAATTGTAAAATATGTGAATTGTATCTCAATACAGCTCTTACCAAAAAAGAAAAAAAAATACAAGGGATGTGGACTTTATAAGATCAGTCATTTTCCAGATCAATCTTAGAGAAATGTGGCAAACCCAAGTTTAATTCTAGCTGGACTGCTGGAGTTGTGGCACTGAAGCAGATCACCTATCTCCACTGAAAACTCTCATGTTCTGGCTGAGACCATCTGAATATAATTCTGCATGGACCAAATGTTCCTTCAGGTTCCCTGTAACCTGCCTGACTACCTCTACATGTGGATAGTAGTTCATCACTGCAAATGATTACTAATTCAATCAAGCATAAACCCATGCATTCAATATTAATTTTTCTATTGTGTGGAATTTTACAAATCCTGGAACCAGATATCTACTCAAATATGACTGATCCCCCCACCTACATATACTCAGTCAGAGGAACATCAAGTTCGACATCTATCCCATTGACAGCTTTCGTGAGGGCTGTTAGCAGGTTTTCATCCTTGATGGTGACATTCATAATAAGAACAAAACAAGGGCGTTCTGGGAGTTCACGATATGGTTACCCAACTAACCTAAAGGCCTGTTCTGACTAAAGCCACACAGAGGAAATGAAATACAGTTTAATTTCTGGGCCACTGGGACCATGATGGATGAGATCTGCACCTGACAGATGGCCTAGTCTGAGCCTCGGCTGACATTGCTTCCATTCCCAGCTTAAATTTAACAGTGCTTCTCAGAGACAGGACTCTGGAGGATGGAGGCTGTCCTTAATTATAAAGGGAATCTGGCATAGACTGGCTTATGTTCTGTTTATTTCCATTGTAACATGAAAGATAGTGAGTACATGGATGACATTTGCATGTTGGAAACATTGTTGTGGGTGGTATGAGTGACCTAATCCTACTAGTCCCTTCTTTGTCTATAGGGACTTTGAGTAAGGGTGGCTTTATTATAGCAATATCCTTGAGTCTACTTTGATTTTTAAAAATTAATTCACTTAATCAGCAATTAAAGATATCTCCCAGGCACTGTGAATTATTCAGTGTTCAATATCCAGAAACATAGGAACAGAATGAGCTGATATACGGCACATCCAACTATGAAACTTGGGTGTCATTCCTGGGATACCAACCCCTGAATTTAGATGGCAAAATACCACCAGGAATGCAATGGTATTCATCTCTGTGGTCATGCTGAGACAATACCATTTCAGGTTGGAAGATTAAAATTCAACAAACAAATTCAGCCAGCATTGAGTAATACTCCACTGTGGGTGAGGCATAAAGTGTGATTAGTGACATGCTCCATGGGACTGTGGGGTCCATTTAACCACCATAAGTATTTCCGGCTTTGGCTAGAAAAAAAATTTAGATTTGAGGAGGGAAAGATAAGGCATGCAAGAGGAACAAATAGCAAGGAAAGAGAGAAGGCAGGAAGAGACAAACTGGGAGCGGATATTTTCATTTTCTGGTTTTCCTCTTCTAAATGATCCAGGTCAAAGACAGTTTTCCAGATGAACTAGTCTTCAGTGAAGAGTGGCACAGGACCCTGACTTTTGTTGGTTTATATAATATACTTTTTTCAGGAAGCAGAAGATCAGAGGAGTTTTTTATTTTTTTAACCATCTAAATAGTATTGTTGACATACATGATATATACTTGACTAATAAGAACACAATTGATTTAAGGGTATTAGTTTTATATCCTGCTACTTTCCTGAATTCATTTATGAGTTT